ATTGTTACTGATTTGTTATATATATATATATATATATGATTTACTCTCTGACCTTAGAGATAAGGAGAACAGAGATTCACATACTCAAATTCTATCTTTTTGAAATGATTGTAAGAGAGGTCGAGCTTTTGAAGATGATGCAGGGAGAAAAAGGGTGCTATTGGAATGGAGGGTGCCATAAAGAATGCTGCAAGAGAGGTCCAGTCCAGTGACATGCCCGGTTTCGTGTCACAAGTGATCCCATCCCACGAGCAGCAGTCTGTACTATCTATCCATGACTCTGTTTTCGGAAAAGGATATTGACAGTACTCCAATGAGGCAGATCTATTCATGGAGAAGGATTGTTTGAATTGACGGAGACAAAGAGACTGGTGATGAGCACACAAATGAGAAGAAGAGGAGGAAGAGTAGGAGGAGGAGTGATTTGAGGAGAGTGGAGATGAAATTGTTGAATGGAAATGGAAGAGAGACAGAATGAAAGAGAGAGATTGAGAGAGGCACAGTTGTGAAAACCCCATGCTGGCTGGACTTACAGGATTCGAAGTATAATTGGGAGAGATGAGAAATAAAGAAAGGCATTATTAGTAGTATTTAATTATTAGTAGTGTTATCTTCAACACTATGAATCTGCCAGTTTAGTGTTGTTCCAATGTCAACTCCACTCGGTATCACTTGAGGCAGAACCTTTATTGAAATAACACTGCAATAAAAACAATATATAACTGTAGTTATCATTACTTATAAAATCCTTACAGAACGAACTTTGAAGATACTGACTGCATTGTTTAGTTTCTTCTTGCACCATTTCTACTAGCATTCTTCTTCGTTCTGCTTGCATTAAGACTCCATTGATCTTCAACCATTTTCAGAAACCATGCGGGTCTTCTTGTTTTAAACACAACATATCCCATTATGACTCCAAACATAAGCCCACATCCATACCCAATTGCCACAGCTTTACTTCCAAACCCATCTTCAAACAATGTTGAATCATCCCCTGCAATAAAGTTTGATGACGGTAATGGTGGTGCCTCGCCATTGCTACATTCTTCTGGCATTGGAAATCCACGCAAACCCGAGTTTCCTTCGAATGAGTGATGATCAAACGTATTGAACTGCTTTCCTTGGGTATGAGTCCTTCAAGCTGGTTATGTGAAAGGTAAAAGACTTGAAGAAATGTTAGATCTACCTACTGTATAGGAATCCTTCCAGTGTACAAATTTGAAGATAGATCTAATGATTATAGACTGGTCAAAATTCCTAATGATGATTGGATATGACCAGTAAGGTAATAGTGAGAGAGGTTAAGTTGTTGGAGTCCTTCAAGCTTTTCGATCAATTTTGGAATCTCACCGGTGAAACTATTACTCGACAAATCAAGTACTGTGAGGATACCTTGAATTTTTACAAACTCAAATTCGATCCTTTCCACCTCATAAATATTGGCAAAGCCTTAGTAATCAAGTACTCTGAGGGATACTGACGGGGAGTGGGTCTTTATGGAATTCACCAAAGAAGAAGCTAGTGAAGTAGTAGGAATTGTTGATGATAATGGGAAAAGTGGGTTACAAGGGATGTTTGGATTGCCGGAAAATGAAGGAAAATAATGGGGTTTTTCAAGAGGTTTCTATTAACAAGACAAATGGATAAGGACGCGTCAGCCAATTGATTGATAGCGAGTAACACCAAATCAAGAGCTGCTGCTTCTTCTTGGGCTCTGTAAGTGCTTCATCTTGCCTTTTAATTAACATTCTCAAGATGATGGAATATAAAGTGCATTGTCTGATATATAAATGAGGGAAACAGGATCGTTCTCCGGTATCATTTGGAATTGTTTCTTGGAGGAAAAAGTATAAGGTTAGGTTTCTTAACGCCAGAGGGAGTTTGTCAGAGATGGATTAAGGAGGTTAGTGACAACTCTATGGACTCAACTATTGCCAACGTCAATGGAAGGTTGGAAAAATTGGCAACTGATACTGAACCCACAATAGTCTATAGCTCTGAACGTGAGGTGGCAGCTACGTATCACTTTGGCAATGTTAATTAGAATGGTATAGTTTCTTAGCAATTTTAGATATGTTATTGCATGCATCATATATAAACTGATTCTTTTGACAGGTAGGATTCTGTTTTGGTTTGCGATCGAATTTGGTTGAAATATACCTAGGAACGTGGGAGGCTGCTAGCGCGTGGGAGACGCCAGTGGACTTCGTTCAGACGCCTGCAACGTGGTGCTCAGTGTATTTTATGTACTGTGAATCAGGACCCTTGATATATTCATCTGTTTTTTCTTGATATCAGGCCAAAAGAAATTGTATTTTCAATTATTTTAATGTTTTTCCAATTCTGAAATGTTCCAAGAAGAATATGTTGTTTTTAGGCGACTCAGAATTGTAGATTTGTTGTAGCATAGAGCTCTTAACCTATCTTACTTTCTTTTGCTTTAGATATAACCTTGCCAATAAAAAATGTTGACTGATTGTGTTGATGATTTTGGATCAGTGTAAGAGTTGTGGAACATCGTTTATACCTTTTGAGATGGGTTTGTTACTCTTCTTAATAGTCATTCGTGACTTACAAATTATCAGAATTACTCTATTTTGCTTGCAAATATTGCTGCTGTTGTGAGAACAGAATCTGTCAGTCAAGTTTTGTTCTTTTAAATTTATAAGAATTGTTTTAATTCTTATAAATTTGCTTGCACACTCGTAAGTTTGTAAGCAATCTGTTCATAACTTTATAACTTTGCATGCTTGACCTATTACATACATGGATTCTTTTACATAAAAGTAACACTCAATTAACCTTGAAACTAAAAAAAAACAGAGATAAAAAGTAAAGGGAATCTGCTACACTGATGTTGTTTCAATGTCAAATCCACTTGATATCTTGTTTGTACTGCAAAATTATAAAGGTAAGACTGGTCAAATAAATTGTAGAGAAAAGATAGCCTGCATGAACTGTGAACATAAAACTCGAAAACTCAAATGCTCCCAAAACTTACTTGAAAATATCAATTGCATTATCTAGTTTCTTCCAGCACCACATCTGCCAACATGCTTCTTTGTTTTCTTGCTCTTGAGATTCCATATATCTTCAACCATCCTAAAGAACCACGAAGGTTTTTTCGTTCTAAACACGATGTATCCCGTTGCAACTCCAAACACAAACCCACATCCATACCCCATTGTCACAGCTTTCCATCCAAATCCATCTCCAAACAATGTTGAATCATCTCCTTCATCAAAGCTTGATGGCGGCAATGATGGTGCCTCATCACCGTAGCATTCTTTTAGAACTTGAAATCCACATAAACCCAAGTTTCCTTCAAATGAGCTTGCATTAAAGGTGTTGAATTGCTCTCCACTTGGTATGGGCCCCTCCAGCTGGTTATGTGAAAGGTTCAGGATTGCAAGAAATGTTAGATGTGCCATCTGCATTGGAATCCTTCCGGTAAGCAAATTTGAAGATAGGTCTAATGATTCCAAATTGGTCAAATTTCCCAATGATGATTGGATATGACCTGTAAGGAAATTATGAGAGAGGTTGAGTTGTTGGAGTGCTTTAAGCTTTCCGATCACCTTTGGAATTCCTCCAGTAAAACTGTTATTTGACCAATCTAGTACTCTGATGGTACTTTGTATCTTCTGAAACTCAATTTCTACACCTTTCCATGTCATTTCTATTGAATGGACACAAACAACGTGATTTGTCGTGTTAAGGTAAATCATGCTTTGATCTGAGGTCATCATTGCTTCAAGAGTATTAAAATACCCTGTTGGCAATGGCCCACTAAAATTATTGTCAGAGATGTCAAAAATCCATAATTTAAAGAAGGAATTATATGCAGTCGGACCCTTCACAAAACCTTGGAGTTTATTGGATTTGAGAATTAGAATTTGCAGCTCTGGAAGCGTTTCTAGAAAATAAGGAAAGGTATCCTCAATCTTATTGTTGCCAAGATCAAGAACTTTCAACATTGTGCAGTTGATGATAGACGGTGATATTTCCCCTTCTAATTCATTTCCATTGAGGTCGAGATATTCCAAGCTATTACCCTTTGAAAATGTTGAAGGGATAGTGCCTTGAAGATTGTTCATGCCTAGATGCAATACTGAGAGCTTGCTGCTGAAGTTCCCCAGACATAATGGTATAGAACCATTCAAGCTGTTGTCGGACAAGTCCAGGACCTCAAGGAATCTCAGCTTGCAAATGGAAGAAGAAATCTCACCTGTCAATTTACTATTGGACACAAGAATGAGGGCTTCCAAGTTCTCTTGTTTGAAAATTGAACTTGGGATTGTACCATGCAAGTCGTTATTGCTCAAATCAATGTATACCAATGAATCTTGTTGGAATTCACTTATATTGCCTATGAGATTATTGTTATGAAGGTCTAGATATTGTAAAGACGGAAGAGCAAACAAAAAGGATGGTATTGTTCCATTGAATAAGTTATCAAATAAATATAGATATTGTAGATTTGAAAGGGTTTTATTTCCGATTGATGATGGGATTTCACCTGTAAAATTATTATTTGAAAGATCTAAATAAATGAGTTGTGTGAGATTACCAAGTAGGGCTAGATCTGATATTCTAATATTACAATTACGAAGAGATATATATTTTAATGACTTTAGATTATTGATGAAGTTGTTTTCTAAATAAACTAAAATTTTTGTATCAGAAAGACTCAACAAAGAGAGGACATTACTCAAATTAGACGAAGGAAAAGAGCCAGCGAGATCTTTGTTGGATGACAAATAGAGTGATTTAAGATTTGGCAGGAGAAAGATCTTACCCGGGAATTTCCCCTGCAATCCACAGTTAGCGAGGGAGAGAGATGACAAAGAAGAGGACAGATTCGCCAAGGAATTAGGTGCAACCAAAGACATATCTACAAAATCTAAAGCGAGATCTCTAAGCTTGGTTAGGTTTTGAAGAAGCTTGTCAAAAAAAAATGGTTGGAGACTTGCGTCGTAGTTTCTAGAGAGATCAAGTGAAACCAACTCAGTGAGTTGATCAAAATCATATGGAATTGTACCAGTAAGACCGTTCCATCCAAGATCCAAGTACCGGAGTTGCTTAAATCTTCCCATTGAGGATGGGAATTTTCCTTGCAATCTACAGTACTTGAGTTTGAGTGATGACAGAGAAGAAGACAGATTCATCAAGGAATCAGGAACAACTAGTGACATGTTTACCGAACTCAGATAGAGTTCTCTAAGCTTGGTTAGGTTTCGAACAAGCTTGTCAAAACAAATTGGCTCTAGACTTAGACCGTAGTTGCTAGAGAGATCAAGTGAAACCAATTTAGAGAGGTGAGAGACTTCTAATGGAACTTGGCCCGCAAGATGTGAACCACTTAGGTTAAGATGTGTTAGACTGGAGAACTGGCCAAATCGAGAAGAAATATGGGAGAAGTTGAAATAATTGAAAGAGAGGTCGAGCAGTTGAAGATGATGGAGAGAGAAGAGAGAATTATTGGGATGGAGGGTGCCGTAAAGCATGCTGCAGGAGAGGTCCAGTCCAGTGACATGCCCAGTTTTCAGGTCACAAGTGACTCCATCCCACAAGCAGCAGTCTGTGCCCTCTTTCCATGACTCTGTTTTTGGAAAAGGATATTGACAATAGTACTCCAATGAAGCAGAACTATTAATGGCGAAGGATTGTTTGAATTGAAGGAGAGAAAGAGATTGGTGATGAGCACACAAATGAGAAGAAGAAGAGTAATTTGAGGGCAGTGGAGATGAAATTGTTGAATGGAAATGGAAGAGAAGCAGAAAGAAAGAGAGAGATTGGGAGAAGCAAAGTGAAAACCCCATGTTTTGCCTTTTAAGGATTCAAAGTACAATTAACTGGGAAAGATGAGAAGTAAAGAAAGGCATTATTAGTAGTATTTATAGACAAGCGCTACAGTCTTAGATTGTATACTGACGAAATCAAAGTTACTGGGAGAAGCATTAAATGCTACAGAAACATAATATGAATAATACCTTTTCTAGGATTTAATAATTAAAAAAGTAAAGTAAGAATAAAAACTGATGGAAATAATGTATACATCTTGATTACTAATATTTTGTTTTTTAAAAATTCATTCCATTCCTTAAATTGATATACTTTGATTTTCCCCTTTTCTATTTTAAATAAAAAAATAATTTAAACTATGGGATTGTGTATACATAATTGAAATAAAATATTGATAAACAAAGTCATCTTCACCTTCTTTATCCTCAAGCCACAAAATCCTCAATATATAGGAAGAAAACTTCTTAATAATTTACACTCATAGTTTACTCACAGCTGAAGCAAGGGGGCATGCAGAGTTAAAGAGTCATCCTCACCTTCTTATGTCCACTTTAATCCAATCCAGTCTACAGTTATACACGTTCTGGCAATAGCTTTCCTAGAAAACCGACAAACAATGGAGAATTAACGGAGTTCGAAGGTTATGTGGGATTGGTCGTCCTCAAAGGTCTTTCTCTTTCAGCATCAACAAGGGAGAACCAATTTTCATTTGGTCTGTCATTGACCTCCAAGTCTTCGGAACTTGGATGTATGTGTATTTATATTGTCCACTCTTCATGTCATGCTGAATATGCAACTGAAGGTTCACTTGCAAATATTTCCACTCAAGAGTGAGAATTGGAAACACGGCAGTACTAATTTCTAAAATTGACATTTTGGCAGAACGTTTTTGTGCTAACAGATACAGTTCGTGCTCTCCCTTTGTAGCTCGTCTGATGGGAAGTGGACGTTGCTGGGACTTCCACCACTCGTCCTCTTCTTCTATAAAACTCCATGCCAACAAAAGACAATAATACAACCCTTGGTACAGATTTTTGCTGGATAAATCTGCGGTTACATACATCAATCCACCTTCGTTTTGTTTTGTGTTAGTACGAAGAAAAATCTGAAGGAGTGCAGTGCTTAGCTGCTGTAGTGTACTAACCGATCTTGCAGTAAAATTGGGACTCGCCTGTTCAAGGTAGAAGTGATGAAGTGTCAATTTTATATAAAGGTCAGAAAGCAATAGGCAATGGTCCAGAAAAGTCTTCGGGGCTGGATAATTAGACATTGTCCACTCTTCACGTGGTGCTGAGAACTGAGGTTTGAATTATTCAGTTGCGAATATTTCCTTTAACATTATTGCTGGGATCAAGTCCATGTGCTCATTAGCATAGATTCAAGACCAGACCTGGTGGCCGGCCCCATCCAAGGCTCAGGTTTCAGGTTTTGTTCTGGTTACCGGATCTTGATCAAGTCGGCAGGGTCAAAAATATTTTCAAAAAAAATTAAAATGATATTGTTTTAATAAAAAACAAAATAATAATAAAAGTAACGGGTTTGTAGCTAGGTCTTGATCGGGTCTTGCTAGGTCACTAGGTTAACCTGTTGGATCATACCAAGTTTTTTTTTTGTTTTTTCTTTAATCCAGCCCGATTCTAACCCTAGGTCGGCTGGATCCCAGGTTTCAAAACTATATTCATTAGAACTTTCTTTATAATTGGTCCAACATCAACTGAGCATTATTTACTTCGATATAAAAATATATTAGGAACATGAGAATAAAAATTTTAAAAATATATATATATATATATATATATATATATTATTTTTATATATTTTTCAATAAAAAATATTTTAAAAAGTACCATCTACCATACTAACATGTTTTCAAAATAAAAACACGATGATATTGATTTCTTAAACGGATTAAATAGTGTTTTAGGGGTTGTTAATTTTTAGTAAATTAACCAATCCTTTTAGTATTAAAAGTAATTAAATAGTTATTTGACCTATTTTAATCATGCTTCTAGTATTTTTTTTTTTTTAAAAAAATACTTTTTCTTGCTTATCAATCTTTCAATTTATATACTTTGATTTTTCGTTTTCCCTTATTCTATTTTAATTAAAAAATAATTTAAAT